TCTGGGAGCCCCCCCCCAACGCCGCCGATAGTGCCTCTGAAGCACTATCAGTGGCTGGGGGGGACCTCCAAGAGATGTCCCGCCCCACCGCCGCCACCTCCAGAGGTCCCGCCGCCGTCACCACCGCAGGCGTGGACCGGACCTACCTGGGAAAGCCGGGGGGGGGAGCCTTCCCCGGGTAGGCCTGGCAGCTGCGATGGTGGTGGTGGGGGACCCCTTGAAGACTTTGAAAAGGTAATGTTATTTTTAAAAAATATATATTTTAATTTTGTGGGGGGGGAGTTTCTTGGGCGGGTTACAGATTAATGAGTTTTCAATGCATTCCTATGGGGGAATGCATTTTTGACTTGAGGACTTTTCGACCTACAGACCCCGTTCCAATACGGATTAATTCCGTAGGTCGAGACCCCACTGCTGCTGGTTCCACTGTCGTACTGCTCTTAACAGCTAGGAAGTTCTTCCTCAGATTCAACCAAAATCTGGCTTCCTTTAGCTTGAGCCCACGGTGGCGTGTCCTGCCCTCTGGGACGAACGAGGACAGATCCTGCCCCTCCTCTGTAGGGACTACCTTTCCGAGTCTGTGAAGAGGGCTCCCTCCTATCCCCTTCTCAGCCTTCTTTTCTCAAGGCGTGCAGGAGAATCCCTGTGTAGACGGGCAGAGAAGGGGGCACATCTGGAGGGGGGGGAGCAGCAAGGCCAAGAAGCCTCACCAGCCCCTTGGCTGAACCTCCCTGGGAGGAGGAGGAGGAGGCAGAAGAAGGCTAGGCCAAAAAAAAAAAAAAAAGGGGGTGCCTGCTGCAGGGGACACATGTACTAAGAGCCGACAGAGAGATCCGTGGGAGCCGGGAGGCCACCCAGAAAGGGCACCTGCAGGCAGGGCCGTCCGGAGGGCTCGGTACCTGGGGAGGGGAAAGAGAGGTGGCCACCTGGCTGACCGTTTTGCTCATGGCTCCCCTTTACCTGAATGCTCCGGTGTAGCCAAAATAGCGTTCCAGGCTGCTGGCCTGACACCTGTGCTCTCCGTGCTGGTCTCCAGCACACAACTCGCAAAGGTTGGCTGGGTAGTTCTGGGTCTGGTTGGTGGGAACGCAGCTGGCTGAGAAGAAGGCGCTCACAGCTGGAAAGAGGGGGGGGAGAAAGAGGGTCAGGATGGAGCCTTGGGCTGGAAGGAGGGAGCGCGTGCGTGCGTGCGATCGGGAGGAATCCCCACGGTCCCACCCTGGAAGAACGGAAAGAAGGCCCCAGGGGCTGGGCTGAGGTCACCCCTGAGCAGGATGCCAGGAAGCTATGGGCCACCTCCGGTGTCCTTGGGCTGTGCCTCCCCTTAGATGACGTCACTGGCCCAGGCCCTGAGGAGAGGGGTGGGGAGTGGGGGGGGGGAACGGCCCCATACCCCCATCCGGAGAGAGTCACACGCTCCCTGTCCCCACCTCAGACCGGGTCCACGTCCCATAAGGGTCGAGGCAGTGGGAGCTTTCCTCCAAAGCACCACCTGGGGCTTACATACACACACACACACACACACAAAGAGAGAGAGAGAGAGAGAGAAAGAGAGAGACTTGATCCAAAGGTATGGATTCAAATCCCAACTTTTCTGGCAGGCTGAGTGGTTTTCTCTCTGGCTGCCTCTCCTGGAGAAGGCACAGGCAAGAGATGGTGGATCTACAGATGCAGCCACAGAATTCGTTCCCTTCAGCAAGGTCTGTGCTGTTCAAAGCCATGGAAAGGGTGGTTTGAGGGGATGGGGGGAGTGCTGGGGAGAATTACAGGTCCTCCCCCCCCAAAAAAGGGATTCTCCCCTCCAAAGGACTCTGCTGAGAAATGTGCGATTTGGGGCGCGTGGCAGAGTGGGGGTGATGGTGCTCAGTGCCTGGTCTGATCCAGCCCAGAGGGTCAGCCCAACCCCCTGTGCCTTTCCTCTTCCTTTACCTTTCAGGACGCTGCACCCCCGTGGCTGAATGAGTCCTTTTCTTATGAGGAGGCCCACAGGGAGCGTCCACCCAGCCCTCCGCCCGTAGCCCGTGTGGCAGGAGCGCTTCCCGCGGAGGTCGTAGATGGTGAAGGCATCCGAGGCGGAGCGCCGGACGACGGCCACCGCATAGTAGGTGTTTGTGGTGTCCCCGTCTGGACATTGGGGGGGCGGGGGGGTGGGAAATGAGAAAACAGAACAAGAGGAAACCTTTAGAGACCATGTCCTGTCCCAGGCCAGCTTTCCTCTCTGAGCGAGGCGTTTCTCTGGCCTCGCTGACTGAGCTGGGTCTTCACGCCTAGTTGCCTCTGAGAAGCAGAAAGAGCCACTGTTCAGGAGAAGAAGAAGACGTGGCAACGTCCACATCCCTCTGGGTGGACAAGATCTTCCTCCCCAGGGGCACTGGAAAGAGAGTGCCAGGTGGGAACAGCCAGGTGAGAAAAAGGCCTTGTGGAAGTCGCCGGATCGTTTGTGTGTCCAGTACAGGCGCACCCCATGCATGGCTTCTTCTGGCTGAAAGGCTCCTTCCTCCTCACATAAGGCGCTCCGGGGCTGGGCTGGGCTGGGCTGGGCGGAGTGGGCAGCCTTTAGGAGCCTCCTTCCAAATCCCAGCGTGGGGCTGGCACACCAAGCCCCTGCGCTCACCAGCCGTGACTACCTTGCTCAAAAGGCCTCAGAGGGAGGGTGTCGAGGCCAGGAAGCTCTGGAAAAGCACCCAGAGCTTGGCCCCTGACTGTGGCCCCTGAGCTCCCCCCTCCAGAGGTTGGGCAACATGCAAATGGGCCGCATCCGTTCAGCCGTTCATGGCCAGAGGGTCTCCTCGGCTTCCTTTTCCTTGTGGGTGTGAAGCTGCCAGGAAACCACAGCGTGGTTTTTGGAGACAGGAGGCCTCTGTTCTCTGTCCTTCTCACCTGCATAGCGCTCTCCAGCAGCAGGCACTAAGCCATAGGCCTTCCCCGCCGTGTAAATCTCCTCTCCAGCCAGAGTCACAGCATCCATGTGTTTTTTCTGAAAGGAAATCAAAACATGTGTATGGCTTGGAAAAAAACAACCTCTGAAAATCCGGCTGAGTCACAGAGGAGGGGTGGGAGGCAGAGTCGCCAAGTTGTCTGGCCATCCGTTCCCTGTGGGACAAACGGCATCCAAGCCAACTCTCTTGTGTTGAGCGTAGGCGGCAGGAAAGGATCCTTAGGGCAGGTAAAGGGCAGCCCTGGTACCACCACCACCCCCCCACGCCCAGGCTCTAGCCCTTCCCTCAATTTCCTTTTCTCCAGCTAAAAAGGGTGAAAAGCCTCTCCTAAAAGCATCCTGGAAGAGGAAGGGTGCTCTCCACCCCACCCTCTTTAGCATCAAAGACGCACCGTGTTTTTTCCAAATAGACTCACTTCCACTTTGTTTTTCACCCTCTTGGGCAGGCTCTACAGCCCCACCGTCACCACCAAAGAGGGTCCCAGAGGCAGAAAACTGGTCCCCAGGCCTGCCAAATTTGCCTTTCCAAGTTGAGATATAACCTTTGATGTTGCTGTTTAGTTGTTTAGTCGTGTCCGACTCTTCGTGACCCCTTTATGGACCAGAGCACGTCAAGCCATCCTATCTTCCACTGCCCTCCCGGAGTTTGGTCAAAGTCATGTTGGTTACTTCGGTGACCCTGTCCATCCATCTCGTGCTCTGTCCTCCCTTCTCCTCTTGCCCTCACACTTTCCCAACATCAAGGTCTTTTCCAGGGATAACCTTTGATACTGGCAGTTATTTTGTCTCGTAGCTATTTATATTCCAGCTTAACAACGCATGGGGTGAAGAAATCATTCCTTTTACTAATAATGGTTAGGTGCCATTAAGTTCTTCTGAAGACTTCTGAAGACTCATCCAAGCTTTTCCAGGAATAAAATGCTCAGAAGCAGTTTACCAGTCCCTCCTCTTGCTCATGGCCTTCTTTGGCTGTGCAGCTTGCTCATAGCCACGGGGGGGGGGGGGGGGGGGAGAAGGCAGGGAATGCGACCCCATTAATGACACCTGCTCCAGTTGCTTCTCCCGGACCCTCTTATGGGACTTTGTGGGACAGTGGGACTTTGGACTCTTATCCACTGACTTTGCTGCAACATCTTCCTGTCCTGGATTCCCCACTATTCATCTTTGGGTTTTAACATCACATGGCGTTCCGTGTCTCGACACGCTGGCCAAGTGACCATGGAAACTATCTTTGGACAAACGCTGGCTCCATGGCTTGGAAACGGGGATGAGCACTGCGCCCTAGAGTTGGACATGACTGGACTAAATGTCAAGGGGAACCTTTACCTTTACCACCACAGAAGGGCAGAAACATCTTCGTATCCATGCTCTCTCCATCATATATAATTTTATTGATGCCTTTTTAATACCCTGTACATGCACAACCTGCCCCCAAGAGACCAGGCAGTGGCGGCGGCGGCAGCAGCACACCCTACCAGCTGATGTGCTCGTAGGTCCGCAGGCAACCCGTGGGGGTCCTACCTGTATCTGTTCCATGCACTGCTCCTGGCTCTCAGCCGAAACACACTGGATTTCTGGCATCAGCTTTTTCCCCTTAAAGGCTACGGCCATTTCGCTGCATTTATGATTTTCCTCTGTAGACAAGACACACCAGCGCAGGAATTCCGGCAACCCTGCAAAGGACCAAGATTGTGTGAATGCTTCTGGTGTGTGCGTGTCTTCTGGTTCCACCGTCCCACTCAAGGCAAAACCTGAGCACGCATCACCAGGCAGACTCGTTCCCCCAAAAGCAAAATTGTTGTTCTTAACTTGGCACTGCACACTTAACTTGGCCACAACACACTGACTGCGCATGAATGCTGATGGAATCTGTCAAGGACTCCAGGAGAGCTGGGGGTGGGGGGCTGCTGCAGGAAGCTTACCAGAAACACTTGCCATTGGTGTTATGAAGCAAAGGGACAAAAAAAGAAAGAAAAGAAAAGAAAAGAAAAGAAAAGAAAAGAAAACAGCCCATGTCCCAGTGGCCACCTGCATGAAGCTTAGCTAAGGTTGCCTTCCTCCACATTCTTCTGGTGGCCTCATTGCAAAAAAAAAAAAAAGGATTAAGAGACAAGAAGAGGCCTCTTTACCAGCAAAGAAAGGGGGCTTACAAGCTGTTGTAAAACACCCAGAGTGGCCTTGGCTGCCAGATGGACAGTATAGATGTCAAGTAAATAAATATAAATACTGAATACGATTGAGTAATGGTCTAAGGGTGTTCAATTTCTGCAAAGCCCCTCCTCCCAGAACTGAGCCTCAAGCGATGGGACTGATCGGCAGATGGGTCAGCAGAGACAAAAGGAAGTTTCCTGTCTGACAACCTGCCTTGAGGTAACATTTTCCATTTCAATGTGGTAGAGCATAACTATAGAGTTTTTACACAGATATTGCAACCATAAACACAAGACTTATGGTCAGTGTAATGTTTACAAACTCAACCTTTGCAAACAAATTCCCCTGTAAAATACACAATGACCAGCATGTCCAATTCAAAACCAACCCATCTTGTGACTTACCAACTAATGAACAAGTAGCATGTTTGGCAACTTGAAACTGATACCAATTGGCCCAAATCCTGTTGTTTAGCTTTTTTTTAAATATTGGTTTTATTTATTTTTTTTGTCTTATTATATTGTATGCAACCCAAGAGTGGCTTTGCAGCCAGATGGGCAATATAAAAATTGAATGAATAAATATAAACTGTACTAGAGTAGGCTCATGGAATCAATTGGGAATTAGTGAGTCAACTTTTCTTTAAGTTCCACTGATTCAAATGGGCCTTCTCCTACTGTATCTTACTATGTTACAGTAACAGAGTAGGCCTATTTGAATCAATGGAATTTACAAGGGCCTTGACCCATCAAATCCCCATTGATTCAATGGGTTTACTCTTGTGCAATTTACTATATCAAGCAACAGGATTTTAGCCTCTGTGTCTAAAAAAAGGGATGCCCTGTTTAGTCATCAGGTGAGCCTGTGAAGACCACTCAGGAGGAAGAGCCCTTTTCTTCCCATCCTGGATTTGAACACGCAACCGTGACCACCTGAAGAGGGTGAGATCATTGTTATCCATGTAGCCTCTCCACATGAGCCAGAACTCTGATTCTTTCTCCCTCTGGCTGTGGCTACCCAAATACGGTCACTTTTCTTTCTTTCTTCTGACTCTTCAGATTTTGGTGTTGAAAGTCATAGAGAGGGAACCAGGCTAGCCACAGGTGTGGTCTTCCCAGGTTCATCAAATGACTGAGTAAGGCTGGTCTTCCTCCCAGTTAGAGAGAAATGGAACAAAGATCTCAGGCCTGAAGTGTCTTCCCTCCACTCAAAACATCTGTGAGAAATGCAGGCTTCTTCCAGTTGTTCATGGAGAAGCCGCACTATTTTAGAACAGTGGTGCCTCGCAAGACAGGCACTCCGCTTAACGATGAATCCACATTACGACGAGGTTTTTGCGATCGCAAAAGCAATCGCAAAATGACGTTTTAATGGGGGAATTTCGCTGTGCAATGATCGGTTCCCTGTTTCAGGAATAGATTTTCGCTTCCCGACGATCAAAACAGCTGATCGTCGGGTTCTCAAAATGGCCACTGGGTGCTCAAAATGGCTCCCTGCTGTGTTTAGGAGCCATTTTTCGCTGCACAGGCACCCAAAAATGGCCACCCCTATGGAGGATCTTCGCTGGACAGTGAGTTCCTCTTCTCCGCTTGCTTTGCCCCACAGGGTGGTTGCTGAAAGGAGGAGAACCCTGAGGGGGAAATGGGGTATGACTAAAATCACAAGTGGACTTTTTTTCCTGCTTCTTTTTGGTAAGGTTGTGCAGCTAGCCTAACTTCAGTTTAAGTGGCACGTTAACATCCACCCGACTGCCAAAGACATCCCCTCCTCCACCCTGGGCTGAAGCAAACTGGAGTTTGGACCGGTTCCAGCAGTAACCGCTAGTCATTTTCTACTCCTTTCCCCACTTCTCTTGTATGTGTTTACGGACACCGTTTCTCTATTGCCTGTGTCTTTGTGGTCACAATATTTTTCCTTCCTGTCTCCCCACCAGGATTCTTTGACCAATGTGGTGTCCCATTGGTGGGCCGGCCTCCCTCCCTCCCTCCTCTGCCCCCACCCAGTTCCGTCCCCCTTTCTCAGGTTTCGCTCACGCCCGCCCATGACCTCCTTCCCAGTGACGGCAAAACCTCTCCTGCTTTCTTTGGGGACTAGCACTAAGCTCCAGAAGCCACAGGCCCTCCGTAGGATGGCAAGCCGGCCGGTCGGCATCCCGTACTTGCAGGGTCGCAGTCCAAGCCCCGCATGGCATGGAGATACTCATCCCCTAACCAGGCCTGGTAGGCCTGTTCCATAATGGGGACCAGTTCTGTGGTAGCATCTTTGAAGAGCAGGTTCTTCCCACCGTAGGCTGTGGAGTCAAACATCTGGAAAGGGGAGTCTTCGCCATCAAACCTTTGCTGAAACATGGACAGAACAGCAAGATCTTGTTAGCCAAAGGACTGCAAGGCCAGAGCATCTCTCACGTCTGCAATAATTAGGAGTGCCCCCCCCGGGTGGGGGGAGGAGGAGGGGAGAGGAAATGGGCACGCAGGTCAACCAGAGGAGTAGGAGGCGTTGCCGTCGCCCTCCCTCTGCTGCTCATTCTTGCTGGGCAGCCCCTGAGTGGCTGTTGATTCCTTAGACCCTTAAGACACCCCACAGGCTGGATGGCTGGAGGCATGCAGGGGTCCTTCGGTCATTCATAGGGCCCCTGGCACATGGCCCACAGAAATTCACTGGAATTGCTTCCTGGGCGCCAAAGGGAGTAGGAGCCATAGCCCCCCCCTCCCACCAGCAAGCACAAATTCTGCCCAGGAAGCATTTCTCCACATCAACTGGGTCATTGTGGCTTAAAATCCAATTGCTAGTCCTGATGAGTGCATCATCCATGAACTATGGATTTAGTGTTCACCAGCTGACTTGATGGGTCTAATCCAGTTCATAGAATCACAGAATAACACAGTCAGAGGGACTCACAAGGTCATCAAGTCCAACCCCCTAACTCAGTGCAGAATTCCAAATCACAGCAGATCTAACAGTTGGTTGTCCGATTTTCTTTTGAATGCTTCCAGTGCTGGAGTTCCCACGACCTCCTTAGATAATTGGTTTCATTGTTGTATTGCTCTAACAGTGAAGCTTTTCCTGATATTCAGTTGAAATCTGGCTTCCTATAGCTCGAGCCCACTAAGACCTGTCCTGCATTCTGAGATGATTGAGAACAGATCCTGCCCCTCCTCTGTATGATAGCCTTTCAAGTATTTGAAAAATGCTATCATTCCCCCCCGCCTCAGCCTTCTTTTCTATTTGCCATATTTGGCAAAATAACATAAAGCTTACAAGATCGGTGAACTTTAAAGAGAATATATATAAGATGTTTTATAGGTGGCTGACCTGTCCTGCATTCTGAGATTATTGAGAACAGATCCTGCCCCTCCTCTGTATGATAGCCTTTCAAGTATTTGAAAAATGCTATCATTCCCCCCCGCCTCAGCCTTCTTTTCTATTTGCCATATTTGGCAAAATAACATAAAGCTTACAAGATCGGTGAACTTTAAAGAGAATATATATAAGATGTTTTATAGGTGGCACATGACCCCAGAAAAATTGTCAAAGATGTATAGGTATACAGATGTATCAAATAAGTGTTGGAAATGTGAAATACAAGTGGGAAGCTATTATCATATGTGGTGGTCATGTGGAGTAGCGAAACAATATTGGAAAAGGGTGCATGCTATGTTGGAACAAATATTGCTCTGTAAGGTGCCATTAACCCCAGAACTGTTTCTATTGAGTATGATACCTGAAAATATAGATAAGTCAAAGGATTATATAGTTATATACATAGTTACGGCAGCCAGAATTCTATATGCTAAAAATTGGAAAAGACCAACAGTACCGAAACAAGAAGATCTTATTGAAAAGATACGGGAAATAGCCGAAATGGACATTTTAACAGAAGTCATGAAGGACTATCCTTTGCAAAAGGCAACAGAAAGATGGGATCTATTTAACAACTGAACTGAATCAACAGGCAGCTTATGAATAGCATATATTGAAATGAGAACTCAATCTAGAAAGCAGAAAAGAGTAAATAGAATAACTTAAAATCTTGATAAGGCAATAGGTACAGAATGGATGGAAATATGTTATTGTCTCCCCTCTTCCTCATCAATTCCAATTCCCTTTTCCTTTCTGTCATCCCTTAAATATTTTTTTTTAAAAGCCTTCTTTTCTTAAGGCTACACGTGCTCAGTTCTTTCCGTTTTTCCTCCTAGGGCTTGGTTTTCAGTCCCCTGGTCATCCTTCTTGCCCTCCTCTGAACTTCTTCCAATTTGCCTGGATTCTTCTTAAAGTGAGGTGTCCAGAACTGGACACAGGACTCTAGATGAGACCTAACCTGTGCTGAATAGAGGGGGAAATAGTACATCTATGGATTTGGAGACTATACATCTGTTAATGCAGCCTAAAATCACATTGGCCTTTTTTGGAGCTACATCACACTGTTGGCTCATAGCTTGTAATCTACAACAATTCCAAGATTCTTCTCACTCGTAGCATTATGAGGACGAAGTGGTTGGATGTAGTAATTAGCTTAGGCCCATGTCAGTCAGAGCAACACTTGCTTTGAAAATGAAGGAATACCTTGTGGGGAAAAAAGGTGGCATTTCTATGGCAGGAAAGCAGGGTCAAGAACGCCTACTAAGCGAGGACCGATAAGGAACAGCTTGCATTGCCTCCTGCCTGCCACTCCCGCAGGGCTGTCACCCGCTGGCCTGCAAGAGGCTGATGAGTCCAAAGGCCATTCTGGGCTGACTGAGCCCCTCCTCGGCCTGTTCTTTTTGACCCTCCCTCCGTCCAGAGCCCAGGAACCCTGACCCACCTGTCCCTGGTCAAGCAGCTGAAAGAGGAGGGCCCCATCCGTGTCGGCTCTGGCCACCACCGCATGCGCAGGAACCCGCGCCAGGTGGCAGGTCCGCCAGGCTGTGGCCGCTGCCCTGCTGCCATCACGACAGAGGAGCTGGAAGTCCTGCTGCTGAAAGCCCTCGGCCCAGGAGGAGGCGGCCGGACCTGAAATCAAGAACCCCGGGAGGAAGCTCAGCAGAGGGTGGCCAGGAATGCCACGGCCCGCACGGGGAGGAAGGCCGCGTTCTCCCGTGCGGTCAGACAAACAGTAAGAAAAAAGGTTTTCCCCAAAGCAGACACTTTTACGGGGTTTATCTACCGTATTTCAAAACTGTTGGCAAACTATAAACAAAACTGTTTTTAAATAAATAAATAAATAAATAAATAAATAAATAAATAAATAAATAAATAAATAAATAAATAAAAA